CTGGACAAATGAAGAGCAGATATTATTGTCCAGAGAAACATTGCTTTAGGGTAGAAGTATAATGTGGAAATCACCCTCTGACTTTCAGAGTACCCAACCTTGTTATAGGTATGATTGCTTATCTGCTATTCTCTTTGCAAAAGGCTTTCTGGAACTTCCCAGTGTTGCACAGATTATTCCCCACCAAGATTTTTCTCTCCTCCCAGCAATGAATTCAGTGTCTTGTCGTGACTGAGAACATGCACTTGATTTATATTGTTATTGGCCACAGGGCAGAAGAATGGGCACTTCGAGGTTCCTAGCAGGGTTTGATCTTGAATTCAGAGGTTGCTTGTACTGCTGTGTGAAAATGACCGTGAGTGCAGTAATACTTTTCCCTGCATAGACACGGCCCTGCTTTTGTGTGGATGAATTTGAATTTTTTTAAATAAAAGTTTCCCTCAAAAATTGAGCTCTTCAGAAATAATCACTTTTATCTGGAAGATGTATAATCAATATGCAGTTAGTGTATAATTCACCTTGCTGTCAAACTTTCCACCTTTACAAGGAGTGTAACCTTTCTCTTTGGTCCGAAATTAGACGTTGAAGGTGTAGAAATGGCATTGTAAATCTGACCTGTGGGAAGCTTGTCTGTTTGGTATCAAAAGGAAATTGAAATTCCATCGCTTCAGAATAATGCACCCCCTGAAAACCTTTAGAAAAAAAGCTTTGTCTCATCTGTATTGAAGTTTTGACTCAGAAATGCCCAAAGAAATGCTCTTTCAGGTTCCTGTAACCTGTGTGTTCTCTGAAATATTGCTGTCAGATTCCTACCCTGTATTATGCCTGACACGCATTTCAAAGCAAGGAGCATTAGGGATAAGATGAAAGGGTAGAAAAGGACTCTGATGAAAAACAGAAGCACAAGAGATGAACAGTTGGGTGGCACGTGTGCGATGCCACCAGTCTCACTCTGGGAAGCAGCATCTGGTGTCTAATCAGGCCGCCGGCCACTTCGAAGTCTGGGCTATGCCAACATCTGCCATTTTGACATTATCATATTGAAAAGGAGCTTGGTTCCTATCTCATTCTGCCAAGAGATTTATTATTTACTAGGTTTAAAAGACAACAAAAGGCTGTATAAGGAGCACTCTTGGGTCTTTGGAGAGACGTGGTATATATTCTGAAAACTAATTTCAAACTTTAGGAAGGAACTTTAAACTGTAAGTTTAATCAGGGATTGGACAAGTCCTTTTCTAATCTTCTGATATTTTAGATATGTAAACTTCATGTTTACAAAAGATGGTAGATTTTTAAAGAGCAAGATTTTTGTTAGATCTGGGAATGTATCAGTAGTTCAGTATTAGCACCAGGAGCTTAGATTTCACTATATTTTGCTTTTTATTTCAAAGGAGTTTCATCTGTTTGAGCATTTCATTGGAAATGATACTAGAGAGTATATTGAGTGATCTGACAACAGAGAGAATGTGTCATTACAGAATATCTGTGTTCAGATACTGCTGTGCTTTTCAAGTATTTAAGCCAAATTGACCAGTACAGGAGTGTTGTGCTGGGTGTATAGGGTTTTCTTGGTAAGTACCAAATTTAGATTTGTCGCCTTAAAATGTAGCAGGGAGAACTGAAAATGTTCCACCTGTTGCAGCACTGTGCTGAGGTATGGTGGTCGCTGCAGGAAGTCTTCCCTTCTAATTTTGATGAAGCGTAAGGCATCCTTTCATTCCTGTTTCTAAGCATCTCCATGTTTATCTTGGTCCACTTCACTGCCATGACTATTGCTGACTTCAGACTCACTGGAGATATCTACCTGACTGCAAAGAAGGTAGAGGTCTTGGGGACAGAGCCCTGAGACCATTCCATCCTCACTTATCTGATTCTCACACTGCTCCTATCCCAGCAGCATTTTAAGCAACCCTTTTAGCACCTTACTCAGTGCCCATCCCTCGACCCCTGGCATCCAAGGCTACTGATTCACACCAGAGATTTTATTAGGGATTTGTTGTGGCAAACAGCAGAGGTCACCTTTCCTAATAGTGAGTTAGGAGCCCCTGGTACTGCTGCAGTAGGCACTAATGGAGAGCTGGCTTTAGTGTCTATGAAAATGCCTTTTTCTTTCTTTTTTATTAAAGAGAAAGTGATGCATCAGATATATTTTCTCTCTCTGAATTATTATCACAGGCTAGGTTACCTTAACTCTGTTCCTGAATGATATTTCAGTATTAATGTCCCGACAACCTCTCTACAGTTCTTAATTTTACCAGTGAGAGGGTATTCAGAATCAAACAAGGGTTCCAGCTGGACTCATACCAGACTGAGAATCACAATCACTGATTTTGGTGTCATGCTAGTGACAGCTCAAGAGAAATGAACGTGGTGGCTCTGTTAAGTTAACCTTTCAGAGATCTGTTTAAGGAGCTTCAGATTAAACAATCCCTGTATCGTGGGAACATTTTCATGGTAGACTCTAGAGAAGGGTGGAATGAAATTCTCCAGTTGGTTGATGGCTTGATATCTACCACTTGACTTCTTTGAATCCCTTATCACTTTTCTCATGATCATAGACATAGATTCCTTATTTTCCATCAATACAAGTGAATTCTTTTTTCTTTTTATATTTTATTATTTTTATTTTATGTGTATGAGTGTATTGCCTGCATGTATGTGAGGGCACCCATGTTGTGCAATGCTGCGGAGGTCAGAAGAGGACTTCAGATTCCCCTGGAACTGGAATTAAAGACAGTTTGTAGCCGCCATGTGAGTCCTGGGAATTGAACCCGGGTCCTCTGAAAGAGCAGTCAGTGCTCTTAAACCGCTGAGCCATCTCTCCAGCCTCGAGTTTGTTTCTTATGTATCCTGAAGGCTTGGTTCTTCCTTCTCTATTGTAAGCTTTTCTTTGTTTCTTTTTTCATTTTTTTCTCCTTTTCCTTATTATGTATCTTTCCTATTTTGTTCTGTAAGGACTTTTCCCCTTGTGGTTTTTGTTATTTTATCTAGTCAGCAAAATATGTTGGTTAGGATAGGTTTTAGAGGCAGAAGGTCCACTGTTAATACCAGACATTGTGCCTTGAACATGATAATCTCTGTTGGTCTTGGTTACTGTCTTCTGTCAGTACTGGACACAGTAGCAGGACTTGCCTCTAGGGATGTTGGAAGACTTCAGTGAAATGATTCATGAGATGCTCATACAAGAACATTCAACACTCTTTCTTTTTGATTTTTTTTTTTTTTTTGGTGTTTTTGAGACAGGGTCTCCCTGTAGTTCCAGCTGGCCTGGAACTCACTATGTAGACCAGGCTGGCCTTGAACTCACAGAGATCTGCCTGCCTCTGCCTCCCGAGTGCTGGGATTAAAGGCTTGTGCCACCATGCATTCAACACTCTTAATTTCAGTATTTCTAATTTGAATTAGTTACTTGTCTCATTGCTGTGTGTGACAGAATTCCTTGACAAAAGCAACTTAAGGAAGGAAAGGTTTATTTTGGCTCACAGTTTGTGGGTCTATAATGCCAGGAAGACATGGGGGCAATAGCTCGAGGCAGCTCGTTATATGGTATTGTCAGTCAGGAAGTGGAGAGGTGTGGATGCTTATGCTCAATGAACTTTCTCCTTTTTATTCAGTCTATGACTCCAGCTACGGAATGATGCTATCCACTTCAGGGTATCTTCCTGTCTCAGTTAATCTAGATAATAACTCACAAGTGTGCCTGACAGCTTGTCTCCCAAGTGATTCTAGAACCTGTCAAGTTGACATTCAATGTTAGCAATTAAAGGGTATTTTTGGCATTAACCATGACCTTAGAATGGCTGGTCAGATATTTATCTGTGATTTTTCTTCCATAATTTTGTCTTCATTTGCAGTGCTTGGGTCATTTCCTCCAATTTCCATTTATACCTCAAATGGAACATGAAAGAACTGGATTTATTATTTCTTATCTGACTCATTCTGTTTTGATTCCCCCTACATATTTGTTAATGGTGTCACAATATAATTTTCTCAGTCTCTTAATTTTGAATGAAATGTAGGCACTTTTCTTATCCTAGCAAAAAACTTAAATGTGCATGGATTTAACACAATGGTATTGCTTCTAATTATAAGCAGTTGAAAATAGATATTGACTAATTAAACTATTTTCTATTTATATAATTAGGTTCTTTTTAAAAATATTTTATTATTTTTATTTTATGTGTATGAGTGTTATGTCTGCATGTAGGTAAGTGCACCTATGTCGTGCAATGCCCATGGAGGTCAGAAGAGGCTGTCAGATCCCCTGGGACTAGAGTTACAGACAGTTGTTAGCTGCCACGTGGGTGCTAGGATTCAAACCCGGGTCTTCTGCAAGAACAACCAGTGGGAATTTGAACCTGGGTCTTCTGCAAGAACAGTGTTCTTAACTGCTGAGCCATCTCTCCAGCCCCTAATTAAGTTCTTTATAATTTAAAATTATGTAGACTATTCAATGCTAGAAAAGAAAAAATGTTGGCCAATTGAATGATAATATTTTAAAGTATGATTCTGTTTTGAGATTTAGAAGTACATGGGTATGTAAAAAAAGAAAGCACCAAAAATATTTTATTGTGTTTATCCTGGTGTTTAGGTTTAAGGGTGATTTTCATATTTTACCTTTTCTCATAAATTTTCTAAAAGTTGCAATATTGCTTCCATATGAGGAAAAACATCTCTCAAACTTAGGGAGAAATAATAGTAATAATGTGCAAAATTCTTGAAATTACTCTACCCTCATGATGTTTTAACAGTGGTGCAGAATATGTCAGGTATGTAGTAGACAGTGTGCACTGAATGTTGAATGAACAGCATTATCTTTCTGTGCATGCTTAGAAATAACTTTTTCTCTTTAAGAGTACTTAAGGCCTCAAGAAATTTCTACTTATAGAGTTTTTTGAAAGGTATTCTCTTTTTTTTTGAAGAAAATTTTCAGCAAACACAAAAGAAGCCGACCTGACTGTGGTGTATGTTTTCTAATAATACATAACTTACCATTTCAGAGATCGCTGTAACCAAAGGGGGAAGACATGGAACTAGTTCATCAGAAAACACATTTACCTCTGTAAAAGTTTCTCCTAAGAATGAATCAAATGGTGACCATCACAGAAACACAACCATCTCTGTTTGTACTGCATCACAATCATCAGAAGAGGATCAGGTAATACTGCCTTACATATATAGAAATGGTTTGAAGAAGAAAGCATTCTTCCTAGAAAAAGAGCCCCCCCATAATTGAATAATATTCTACAAAGAGTACTTTGTTGAAAATTAAGTCATTCTGTATCAGTATTTTAACAACCATGATTTGTGAAAATAATGTGACTATCTTCAATTTTTGGCAAAACCTTAGGGCTGTGCTATGTATAAATGCTTCTTAAAATTATATCTCGTTTATAACAAGAGTTCCTCTTTCTACTTCTGTGTATGAAAGAGGACTTTCTTTGACCTGTCTTAAATTTCTTTTTCAGTACTAATGTAGAAACCAATATCTTATTTTTCTAAGATTTAGTCAATGGATGCTGGATGCTGTCCTCCTAAACTCTAAGACTTTATGGACTTTATTTATCCATTATCTGGCTATAGTTTTTAATTATCAAGGAATACTACCACATAGTATTCTACTTTTAACTATCTGAGTTTTTCTTTTTTTAAAATGTCATTTTGGGTTTCTATTTCTGTGCTGTAATGTTTTCCACACCATATTGTGGACAGAATTGTATATGCTTGTGACTTTATAAGAGGTTAGAAATCTCTATGATAGAAATGTGTTTCTATGTGTTTCAATACTAAAATTTGAGAATCCATTACTTCATAGCATCCTTTTTCTTAGTGATATATGCTAAGGGGGATCAAAATTCCATCAAAATACCCTTTTGATTTGTTAAGCTTTAAGGAAAAAAGATACAGAACCCAGTCAATTACAGACAATTTAAGGCATTCAAACACCACTTTACAAAAAGAAGGAGTGTGGGGAGAGATAAGTAACACTAAAGGCCTTTAGAAAAAGCCATATGGAAATCTACCAATATAGAAGCTTCTTCAGCCAGGCATGGTGGTGCACACCTTTAATCCTGGCACCCACTTGGGAGGCAGAGGTGGGTGGATCTTGGTAAGTTCAAGGCCAGCCAAGTCTACATAGTGAGTTCCAGGCCATCAGGGGACTGGGGTTACAGGGATACCCTGTCTCAAAAAAAATAAATAATAAAAAAAAGAGAAGAAAGAAAGAAAGAAAGAAAGAAAGAAAGAAAGAAAGAAAAAGAAAAAGAACTTGCTTCCAGTGATGATTATGAGATCCAGCTGTTTCCCCTAGAGGACTCTTCCTTTACTGGCAATGACTGGGATTATATTAATATTCACACCACTATTGTACCACTAGGCATATCTTGCCAGGCCAACAAAGAATTATTGTGTTGCATTGTTTTCTAATATCTTGCAAATACTGTAGCAGCATTCTCAGATTTGTGCATCAGAGGTCCATAAGGATGGGATAGGAAGTGGAGTGATTTCTTTTATGCATGAGAATGCTGGGGTTAAGCAATCTATGTGCTGCCCAGTGGATGATCTAGAGTACCTAACTCACAGTTAGGCTTGCTGGAACTGCAGTTTGCCATGGCTTAGAAACTCCAGTCTTTCATACCTGGCTAATTAACAAAGCCAGAGCTCCAAGACCAGCTCCTTTATTTCCGATTGTTTCCTTTTCCCATCAGCATGTCCTCACTGTGTTTTCAGATAGCGATCCATGCAGGACAAGAAGTCAGCAGTTCCGTTCAAGGTGGTCGGCGCCCGGCAGGAAAGGTGAAGGTAAGGCATGATTCAGTTTTCTTCCATGACAAGAACATACGACAGATAGACAAATAATCACAGGACTCTTTTGCCTTAAAGTTGGAGAATTCATCAGTTTATTCTTGGAAGTTTTTCTTTTTTTAAAAGAAATTTTAATTAAATTTTTGTGATTTACATGCAATATAATTTGATGGCATTTAGAACCCCTCCTCTATTCATACTTCCCCTTACTGTACCCCTATATAATATACTCTATTATATATATATATATAACCTGTAGAGTCTAATTTGGATCCCTTCCTCTATCCACATCTCCCCTTACTGCCCCCCATATAATGTATTCTATAGGTATATATATGTCGCACACACATATAATTAGACGCTATACACATACACACACACACACGCACACACACACACATATGTGGCTGTCTCTCCCACTCCCAGTAGCCATCAGTTGTCTAAAGTTCCTTAGGTTAGGTTGGGGTTTCTTACCCATTTCTCTACATCTGTGCTGGGATTTTGTCTGGTCTAAGCTTGCATGGTACTTGTGCATGCTGTCACCATTGCTGTGAGTTCACATGAGTAACTGACCAGCGGTCTGGAAAACTCTATTTTTCCTTGTGGTCATTCACCACCTCTGGATTTTACAGTCTTTCTGCCCCCTCTTTCATAATGATCCCTGAGCCTTGGGAAGCAGAAGTTTTTTTTTTTTTTTTTCAGTCTTTTTGAGACAGGGTCTCCCTGTAGCACCAGCTGTCCTGGAACTTACTATGTAGACCAGGCTGGCCTTGAACTCACAGAGATCCGTCTGCCTCTGCCTTCCGAGTGCTAGGATTAAAGGCGTGTGCCACCACGCCCGGTGGAAGCAGAAGTTTTATACAGATGTTCTATTCAGGGATAAGCACTCTCCAGCTTTTTGTTCTCCACACATTGTTTGTTTCTGTGTTAATCACCATTTTCTGTATAAGAAAATTTCTATGATAAGATTTGAGAGATGCATTAATCTATGGGTATAACATTGTCATTATGAGTCAGTTCAATACTATATATAGCAGAAAGTTAGTATTAGGTACTCCCCTGTGGCCTGTGACCTGTCTACCCTCAGGATCCTAAGCCTGATATCAATGTGAGGTACGGGCTCCAGTCAATGAAGTGGACCTTAAATCCAATTAGTGAGTGGTTGGTTACTCCAGTAATATTCATGCCACTATTGCACCACTAGGCATATCTTGCCAGGCCAGTTGTTTCTGTAGCTCACAGGATTCACAGCTGGAAAGGTTGATAATTATTTTTTTAATTCCCATAGCATGCATAGCACCTTCTAGCACTGTGAACGCTACCAAGTAGAGATGAGACTCTGAAGTCAGCACCAGCTTGATATCTCTTTCTTTGTTCAACAGTTCATATATGTAGTATTGTCAACAGTAGGGTCTTAACCATCAAGCTCTGGTGAGTACTCAAGAGCAGGGGTAATGGCTAGTAGTGTTTAAGGGTCTGTGGGATCCCTGGTCAAGAGTTTCAAGAGACAGAGTCCATTTCTGGCTGTGGGGTTTTGTTTTGTTAGCCTATGCTATCTAGTAGGGGCATTGTCCCTCTGTTATGAGATAACTCCTTTTTCATCTCTTTTTATAATGTATATGTATGTATATACTTTATGAAGCTTCTTATTTTCTTTTTTTCCTTTTTTTGTCTTTTTGAGACAGGGTCTCCCTGTAGTCCCAGCTGACCTGGAATGATGGCCTCGAACTCACAGAGATCCTCTTGCCTCTGCCTCCTGAGTGCGGAGATTAAAAGTGTGAACCACTTTTGTAGTGACAGGTTTCCATATGGTTTTTTTCTAAAGGCCTTTAGTGTTATTTATCTCTCCCACACTCCTTCTTTTTATAAATTGGTATATGAATGCCTTAAATTGCCTGTGCTTGACTGAGCTCTGGATCTTTTTTCTTTAAAGCGTTACAAATCAAAAGGGTGTTTTAATGGAATTTTAACCCCCCTTAGCATATATCATTAAGAAAAAAAGATGCTATCAAGTAACCAATTCTCAAATTTTAGTACTGAAACCATACAGAAGGTAAATTTGCTGTCATTCACATGCCAAGTAATAAGTGCAGTTTTGTGCTTATAAGGAATGCATGGTCTAGCTATTACACTCTGAGCTAGGGAAAAGACAGTCATTCTGTCTTTTGAATTACAATTAAATTTCCATTTATAATTTTAAGGTGTTTTGTTATGTATCTGTTTAGGTCATGAGTATAAAAAGCATGGTGACCTCGTGCCTTTGCTACATGCTATTTGTCCCAGTGGTGAAATTATTTTCTTATTTGCACTCTTTGGTAGTCCCTTGAGATGAATTATTTTATGTCTGAAGTGTTACCATTTTGTTCATCTGAAATGCCTCATTGTCAGCTTGCAGTAGCAAGCAGTATTCCATGTGGAAGAGTTTTTCATTGAGATGCTGCTCTTGGGTCTGGAAAGGTCATTTGCTCTGTGTTTTATCTTTGAAGTAATTTTCAGTTTTATTTGTCTGAAAGAGAGAACACTTGATGTTTTGCCCTGCTCACCTCTCTTGTGATTTACCTGGGGCAGGATGATTTTGTTTTGAATGTACCTTTCTTTCCTTCTTTCTTTAGTTTCCTCTCTCTGACTCTTCAGAATGCTATAAGAAAGCCAGGTATTATGATACTAACCCACCACCATCACCAGTTGCTTGAGAAACAATAAAATAAAAACAAAAAACCAGAAACCTGTTTTTTTATTCCAGTGGTGGTGGTATATATTCTAGGAGGGAATTTAGAGCAAAGAACTTTAGAAGAAACTCCCAGATTGTTTTTTCCTTTCAGTATAGAGAGTGGAATATAGTGCTTTTAAAATCTAGGCCAACTTGCAAATATCCTGCTTCTTTCTGTCGGGAAAGCACAGCACGCATGGGCTTTGAGCTTGGCCTTGAGAATTCATGAGAAAGATTCTGCTCTCCGTTGAGTGTTGTGCAAGTGGATTCATGGACTCTGCACTGTGTTTTTTCTTTAAGTGAAATATGCATAAAATGATGTTTATCCTTTTTTAGGTAAACAGTTTTCTAGACTTAGAAGATTTGGACATGGATGAAGAGAGGAAGCCTCAAATGAGCATGGGTATGCTTTCTCTTTCCTTCCTCTACTGTTTGACCTCTTTCTAGAAACTAAAAAGATTAAGACATCTGTGTTGTTTTTCCCAGTCCTGACTTCTGCCTTTCTTGATGTATGAAAAACAGAGATTATGAAATTTCTTTTTGAAAAACAAAACTTTTACTGGATCTGTCAAAGCCTTTTGAAAATTATAAAACCTTTGGTCTTGATTAAATAAAGCTGCTTCTTTCCCACGCCCCAAAGTGTAGCATAAGTTGAACTATCAAATAATTGTGTCATATAGAGCGCTTATAAAGTCAGTGCCTTATTTCTAAGAAGTACAGTGTTGTAAATTGAGATTAAGGGACATGTAAAATACCAGTTGACAATAAAAATCATAAAAATTGATCACAAAATAATCAATAAACAATATCCAAATTTTTGCCTTTAAAATATGTATGAAATATATAAATGAACACTTAAAACTAAAGACGTTGTAAATGTTTTTTTCTGAGTCTTTTCTAAATGTATATATTTAAATTGAATTATTGTGTGCTTTATACAAAACATCCCAGTTATATTCAGGCCTCCTCCCCCATCCACACCCCCATATCCCCCACCCCCCCACTGGATTACATGCATTCTGTCATAAATGTTAAGGCTTATTGAGTTAAGTTAGTGTACCCAGACATCCTTTAGTGCAGATTCATCCACTGGAGTGTAGTCAGCCTTTCTAGAGTCCCCCTTAAAGAAGATCAACTCCCTCTCACCCAGCAGTAATCAGCTACCAATAGTTCTTCAGCTAAGATTGGGGCCTGCTGCCCATTTCCCCATTTCTATGCTGGATTTTTGTCTGATTGAATTTGAGTGAGTTTTGTGCATGCTGACACCATTGTTGTAAGTTCATATGATCAAGTTTCCAGGAGCCTGTGAGACTGTTTCCTTATGGTCATGTGCCTCCTCCCTTGGCTCTTATAATCTTTCTGCCCCCCTTTCTGCAGTGGTTTCGGAGTCCATACTTTGCAGACTCTTATTTTCTACACTTTGGTCATTTATGGCTTTTTGTGTTCATTACCCTCTGTTGCACGAGGGAGCTTTGGGGTCATTTTTTCACAAGAGCTTGAATGGAAGAGGCTTTGTGGTTATCCATTGATGTTTATATAGAGGATGCTTTTTTTCCCTTTCCTGGTTAACATTTTTACGTAAGCACAGGTGGTATACTTTATTGTTTAAAGGACCTTAAGGGCTGGAGAAATGGCTTAGTGGTTAAGAGCACTGACCGCTCTTGCCAAGGACCTGGGTTTGGTTTCCAGCCCCACATGATGACTAGTGACCATCCAAAATTCCAGTTCTGGGGAATCCAGCATCCTTTTTTGGCCTTCATGGACATTGCATGCACATAGTGCATTTATATACATGCAGTAAAAGCACTCATCAAAATAAAAACAAATTCAAGAGACCTTTGAAATATGTACTGAAGTTACAGTTCAGTTGATAGAGTATTTGCTTAGCTTGCATTAAAGCCCTGGGTTTGAGCCCCAGCACAATATTAAAACCAGGTATGGTGACCCATGGGGGTAATCTCAGCACTTAGGAGGTAGAGCCAGGAGGACCAGAAATTCAAGGTCATTCTTGACTATATAGCAAGTTGGGGGGCCAGCCTGGGCTACTTGAGACCCTGTCTCAAAAAGTAGCAAACAAACAAGAACAAGGACAACAAAAATCTTTGGTCTTGATGAATGTACAAGAGTATCTTAAAGTCAGTGCTAAATTTTAGCAAGGGAAGGTTCCTATATGGGTTTGCTTGTTGACCTTTAACTGCTGTTTACAGTGTTCAGGTTCATAAACATGAACTGATGCTATTGTTGGGGGAAGAGGTTGACTGAAAATCAAACAGGAGTTACAGTGGCTGAGTAAAGCTGGTCTGAGGCTGGCAACTCTCTGTAACATAAGTGTGATCTGGCTGGCTATTTGACTAAAAGTTCTTTGGTTCAAGGCAGCCAGTATAACATGGGTGAGTTCAGTAGCTAATTAGGGTGTCGCATTGTCCTATCCCTCATCCTCTTTGCTTATATATATGGACATTTCAGGATTTCTTGCAATAAGAACTAAAATAAGTTATCATTAACTAATGAAGAAGTTATCATTAACTATGCTAATGCAGACTTACCAGATTTTAGCACTGCTTAACAGTGCTGAACACCAGCAGAGTACATCAGGGAGAAGTGGGTCCTATCTGTCTCATACTGACATAAACCAGTGTAGTCAACAAATACAATTTTTGTTATATTGATATTTTAAGTTAACCTTTTCTACTTTTTTACATTGCTTTCTTTAAACATTTTTCAAGTTATGGTTTTCAGTTACCAGGTTTATTCCTTTCTTTTAAAAAGTTGAACAGATTTAGTATAGTTTTTCAGAAACCACATAACAGGAGGCCTTACATTTGTATATAAATAGTTACCGAGGCTGAACTAAGTCTCTGTGGACTTGAATGAACTAGTCAAGTCCTCCCCAAGTGTGAAAAGAAGTGCAAATCTCTGGTCGACAGTAAATCCAGGCCTCGGTGATCTCATCTAATTACCCAAAAGACCACCAGGGCTTCCCAATTTTCAGAATGCTCAATCTGGGTCACTTGAAAGGAAGAAAGAAATTAAATAGTTTGTGCCAAGGTGAATTTTAGCATAGGCCTAATTCGTATTGCATCCAGGAATGTGAGCAGACGGCAAATATTTATATCAGATGGGAAATGGGACATTTTAAACAGGCAAGTTGCTTGTATAATTTTGGCAGCCGGGAAGTTTACTGACTAGATCCTGTTGTTATTGTTTAAGCAACAGATTTGCCTGAGGCAACAAGGAAGGGGATGCATATTGTTTTTCTACTATTGATTTTATTTGTTCACCTTATTCATGCTCATAAATATTCTCTAAGATTCAAGAGCATGATTCTTTCCCAATGTATGGCTTATCATTTTGCCAGCTCAGGTATAGAGAATAGAGTCAGGTTTTCAGTGGGGTAACACAATACAGTGACATCGTGAGGCCTGAGAGTAACATTTGCCACTGTGTTTGGTGCCCTGAACTCATTTGACATCAAGTTTGCACCTTTCCTCTTTTGAATTTGAGATAAGGTACTTAACCTGGTGACTGTCATATTTTAGACAAGATGGCTTGAAATGTTATGCAACAAAATTGCTGTTTGAAATAGTTATTACATCGAGGTCATCAGAGTGGAAAGGATCCTCTGCTTATTATTGTTTTGCACTTTTCAAGTTGAGTACAATTGGCTGAAGGGACTGTTTTTGGGGGGTCTACTTCTCAGAATCACACTCCCTTGGGTCTCTTGCCAGTGGCTGTATTTACGCTGTGGTTAATTGTGTTGAACGAGAATGGGACTGGTTCCTCAACAGTTGGTAGCTCTATTTGATTTTTATTTTCAAATTCTCTAGGTCTTGTAATCATTTTTAGTTAGTATTGGGTCAGTGCATACAAATGAGGGCATCAGTCACTTTAAAAAATATTCTTTGTTTATCTACAACTTTAAGCATGTTTAGGTAGCCTATAAATGACCAGAGATTCTTATTCACAAATATTTAACAATTGTGGCTTGCACCTGGAGCATATTTGAAGAATAAAACATCAGATTTTTGTTCTCATATGACATTAATGATTTATTGAAAGAATTAAGTGTTAACCATATAGTTACAAATATTTCATTATAAATTGTCCTAGGACTCATGAGAACATAGGGCAGGAGAACTAAAATTTGTCTGTGGAATCAGAGAAAGCTCCCTAAGAGCATGTGACTTGAAGGATGAAGAAACCATTAAGTAAATGAGGAGCTTGGAGTGAAGGAGAGGGGAGACAGAACAGTTCTGTAACAGCATTAGGCAGGGCTTTGTTTTTGGTCTTTTTGAGACAGGGCCTTCCTGTAGCCCCAACTGGCCTGGAATTCGTTATGTAGACCAGGCTGGCCTTGAACTCACAGTTTTTAAAACCCTTTCCACTCCCGACTTCTTTTCACACTAGAAATTTTTATGCAGCCCTGGGTTTATATGTATATAAAATAAGTATACCAATCAAGCATTTACTACTAATAATTTATAACCTTTATTTTATTTATAAAGCTCTTTGGTATACATGTAATTTTACCATTTATTAAAGATGACAATTTTGCGTGGTAATGAGATGGATATACTTGTTTATTTTTAGATAAAAAATTAAGTCTTGGGTGAATATTTGATACTGTAGCACATAAAATATCTTCAGAATTTTACAGAGTTGGTCGATACTTTGATTTTATAATTGTTAGTGCTGAGAATCCCTCTTCACATCAATCTGTAGTATAACGTGAAAGAATTGTATTTAGGGCCACTTCAGAAGTTGTTGGAAATTCTGTCGTAATCCCACGTCAGAATTTATTTGATTAAAAAGATGAAAGTCAAGTCAGCAACTCAAATAACAGTTTTAGAAATTAGCATAATACAATCAACCCAATGATGCACTAATTTCATACTTACATGCTGAGGAATGATTAGTAGGAAAATACTAAGTCTTTGGTTTTTTTTTTTTTTTTAATAATTAAATCATTATGCTTCGGTAGGAGTTGAGAACTTTGTATAGGAAAAACACTACAGTTCACAAGGTCCAATAGTGTCCGGGACTGAGGTATTTGGGAAGTGTTCCTTGGCTTATATGGCCTGATAATACATGTAGTATGTTCACAACTAAGACTGTGGTGAAGTCATGTGATGCGAACAGGCTGGTGCTGCTAGAAATACCTTGGATTTTGAATTAATTTCTGATTATCGTGTCTTAAGAAACCTTTTTCTGTTGCCAAATTTTTCACACCCCCCCCCTTCAGTTCCATGACCCCATATAGGGTTACAGCCCACAGTTTAAGAAGCTGTGGCATAAGGGACAGCAGGCATAGCAGGCCCAGGCTAGGAGAAAATGGCACATTTCAACCAATTTAAAATATGGATATGCTTATTTTACTTAGAATTGTCATTCTTCCATGGCTTC